CCAAAATACAGCCTAGACTAACGGGGTTTTGACCGTGACTCAGAGGAGGTGAGCACAGTTTTGGTCGCTGGCCCGGCCATGATGCCCGTTGTCGGCTGAGACGAGAAGGAGGCAGTGCTGCATGCGGGAGAGTCCGCACAAGTTTTCTGCTTGCAACATCCAGGCATGTCGGATCAGACGCCATTTCATGGGAGCAGCACCAAGCCACAGCAAAGGAAGCTCTTTCTTGGGCTGCTGATATGATATGACGTAAACTTTCTTTACCTGACCTATCGTGGTCTGGAGAACTCGCTTTGTTTTGATAACTGCGCCATGAGTCGTCACAGGCGTCTCCCTGAGCCCAGGCCCTCCCTCACCGCCTGCTGGTGAGCTCCTTCACCTTCGCCTTGAAAGCAGCCTGCTGACAGGGAACTTCCGGAACGGCTCACAGGTGGCACGCTTGCCTCTTCGGTGCAATCTCGGCAGCTTTGTATGACAACTTTGGTGAACTCTGTGCCTCTGCTCTGCTTTAGGCGGGACTGCGTCATCTCAATCCCCAAATCGAGGGACTGAAGAACCAACAATCAAGCGGGATCTTCGAAACCAAACCAAAGCCTTTCCAGTCTTTTTGCCAGCGCTGCACAGCAGAACGTGTGAGTGTGCTCAGTTGCTGCTCGCTGTTCGGCGGAACCTGGGCTTGGGGCTTAGAGGCTTAGACAGCTGTGACAGCTGCGACCCTGCGGTCCAGCGGCTACCAGGAAAGGCGTGTCCGCACGGCCGGCAGCCACCACGTCGTCGAATCGCTGCAGCAGGGCCTGTTCCTCCGGGCCAGAGCAGTACACCGCGACTTGAGAGCCACATCACCATCAAAGCCGTGCCTTGGCTAGGCCGCCAGGGACCCAAGAGGCCCGCCGGAGAGGCGACCAGTGGCCGGCGCGCTGGCCTTGTGGAGACTGGAGTTCGCGAAACAAGGTGTTGCTCCACCTCTGCTTCCTGAAACTACATCCCGCAGCTCATCATCATCATCAGCATCATCGTCCTCACCATACTACTGCTACTGGTCCTGGTCCTGTTACAACAACAACAACTACTACTACTACTACTACCACCACCACTAATGCTACCGCTACTACTACTACTACTACTACTACTACTACTACTACTTCTTGCGACCCCCTACCAATTACCTGGCGCATAAACCCATCATCATCATCATCATCATCGTTGGTATTGGCTAAAACATCACGAAAGTACGAGGAAAATGGATGTGCTCTCAAAAAGTACGTCATCATGCCCCCACCCACCCACCCCCACCCCCAACAGCAGTGGTTGGTATTGGACTACGATATCACGAAAGTGCTGTACATACCGAGTGAGATGGATGTGCGCTTCAGTGTTTAGCAGAGGTAGTTAGGGAAGGCGGCGCCTACTACTACCACTACTACTACT